TTCACTTACAATAGTTTAGGTGTTGTTTTTTAATACAATCGCTGAAATCCAACAGTAAGTCACAGCTAGAGTAGACTCACTGGATCAATAGAATTTACAGAGGAGCTGGCTCACCAAAAATCCCATTGTTCAATGGGCATACTTTCGTCGCAACTTACCACTGGATTTCAGCTACAACGTGAAAGATATTGTCCATCGTATCATATGAAGTAGTTTTTATTCAAGGTCAGATATCCTTATCTATCCAGCCCAGTCCTCTCTTCTGGCTGGCACTTTCTAGCTTTCCAGGGCCTGCAGCCCAGGTCTTTCCCAGCCCTTGCTACATGGCGCCTGAGATCACCCTGGGACTTTTTTGCACACAAAACATGTGCTTCTCCATTAAGCTATGATCCTGTTTCAGAATCCAGCTCATGAGCACTGGCTTCCTATCATACCTATGTGTAAGACAGCTTCACGACTTCACACATGACAGTGCAGATGCAAGGAAAATACCTCATGCAAACCAACTCTTAGCATCCCTTGCATTTTAACTATACAGATATTGTCTCTTCAGGCTGCCTGTCAACCCAAGATGGTTCTTCCTTCCGCTTTTACAAGAAGAACCAACAGCAAACAGGAATACACACACATCTGAAGACATACCATTTCTGTTCACTCACATTTAGTTTGTAGGGCATAGATTCAAAGAAGATGGACGTGGCCGAGATACGCTTGACGTCAGACATGTATCCGTGTGTCAGACTGCCAGGGAAACAGAAGGCAAATTATCAGGCCAAAATGCAAGCTCCAGGCATAGAAAAACTATGCCAGTCAAAAACCCACAGGTTGCATCCCTCAAGCAGAATGGCTGCTTGGAGGTTTGAAGGAGAGGAACTCTGTGACAGGATTAGTTTTGGCAAGTACGCAAGGCATGGCGTGTCCTACAAGTTAAAAGCCATGCCTCTATAGCATTTCCCCTGAGGAGAAGAGTTTCTGTAGGCTAAGGCTAAAGTAGTTGGTACAGGTTTCTTACAAAACTATCTAATGAGGATGGACAGGTTTTTTAAAGGGATTCCTTATCCTATCAGGAAATTCATCCCCTCTTTGCAAAACACACAGAGAGAATGGTATTCCATCCCAAAGACTTTATTTAGGTCCCTACTTCCTACCTCTTTGATTTCCATATCCCAGGACTATTAGTGACATTACCCTCATTAACATCTTTGCTAGACCTGTCATTTCTCAGCCTCCCATTATTCTTGTGCTTTACCTTTCCCTCTTTTGCGTCAATTATCCCAGTCATAACAGCCCCCTCAGTCATTTTCTCACTTTACTTCAGCCCTTCCCCAGCCAGATACTTTTCCAGATGTGTTGGACTACAATTCCTATCATCCTCAGCCAGCACAGCCAATGACTCTGCATGTTGGAGCCTGGCTAGTGTTATCATCTATAAGGGTGTCGGCTTAGGAAAGGTGGCTTTCAGCTGCCTCAACAGACAGAAATAGCCCCACCCCACCCCAATTCCTTGGCACAAGGTCCACTCCCGTTGGTACGTACTGGCCCCCATCCGGCAAGTCCAGGCCCATGAGACGCTCATGGGGCTGCAGCAAAGCTGTGTAGGCTGCAAAATTGGCAGGGGAACCAGAGTAGGGCTGGACATTCACCCCCCAGCGCTCAGGATCCAGGTCAAAAGCTTCAAGAGCACGACGTTCGCACAACAGCTCAATGCGGTCCACCACCTCAGCACCACCATAATATCTGTGTTGGAATCCAAATAGGTAAGAAGCATTAAAAACAAGCATCCATCCGTTTTCTTAGCCAAAATCTCTGAAACAAGGAAGAACAAAAGAAATCCCTACCTATTTCCTCCATGCCAGCACAGGTATAAGGGACGTTACCCAGGCAATCATCCCTAACAAAGCCTCCTGCCAGCCCTTATGCGTTCATAAACACTCCAAGAGAATGTGCCTCTTCATTACGATATTCTTTTCCCTAATGGCAGATGCCCCATATGCTGCCTCCCTCCAGTCCTAAAATCTAATCCTAATATGGCTTGCTTGCACAGCTGGCATGTGTGACCAATCACTGAAGGAAGAACTTACGCCCACCGCACTAGGTCCGAGATGGGCCTTATCCAAACCTCCTCTGAGGCATGTACTAAGGGAGGGCTTTTCTACATACATGACAAGCAAACACCAGGGTAACCCACATGTTTGTCCCTGCCTATTTTATCCTCCCAGAAGCCCTGTGAGGTAGGACAGAGGTTCCCAACCTTGGGCCTCCAGATGTTCTTGGACAACAACTCCCAGAAGCCTTCACCACCACCTCTGCTGGCCGGGATTTCTGGGAGTCGAAGTCCAAGAACATCTGGAGGCCCAAGGTTGGGGACCACTGAGGTAGGATATATTGAGAGATTGTGAGTGGCCAGTGAGATCCATGAGCAAGAAGGAATTTGAATCTAGCTTTCCTCAGTGAAGTCCAGCATTTCAGCCACTCTCCATTAAAAAAATCCACTTCTCCATCGGTTCTCCACAGTGCACTGCTGAAATATGTAAACACTGAATACTACATGAGCATTTATACCTAAATCAGACTTCCTCAGCCTACATCCCACTGGATATTATGGACTACAACCTTCCTTCATCCGTCAGCTACCACAGTGGTTGAGGACCTGATTTAATCATTTCCCAATCCAGTCAAAGCAGATGAGTAACTGTTCCCATCTCCATATTGGTGGGCCTTTAAACAAGACAAGGCCCTGAGATGGAATGGCAGATGCCATGTCGCTACTGCTTCCCTTAATGACACTTTCCCCTCCTGCTTCTCTTACTCTCTTGTTATTCCTTTTCCTCTCCACACCCTCCCCCCGTGCTTTCATGGCCCTTCTTCCTGTCGGCCATTTTTGTTAACTACGAGGAGGCCCACACCAAAATACACTTAGCCACAGTGCAGAAAAAAAACCTGAAGGCAGGCCTAACGTACTTCAGCTCTCCTCATCTCCAGTTCCACCCCATTGACAACTATAAGACAGTGTGACTTGAGAGGCGGTGTGGTGTAGTGGTTAGGGTGATGGACCAGGACTTTAGAGATCCAGATGGAAGCCCCCCATGGAGCCATGAACTACATGACCTTGGGGGTCTCTCACTCCACCTGACATTGTTGTTTAATCATTAAATCGTGTCCAACTCTTTGAGATCCCATGGACCAGAGCCCACCACGCCCTCCTGTCTTCCACTGCCTCCCGGAGTTGGGTCAAATTCATGCTGGTCACTTCGATGACATTGTCCATCCATCTCATCCTCTGTCATCCCCTTCTCCTCTTGCTCTCATACTTTCCCAACATCAGGGTCTTTTCCAGTGGAGCAGTGAATTCGTTCTGGTTTTTAGCCTGCAATTTGAAGGAGCTGTCCAAGATGCTGAGGCTCTAGAGGTGGGCTGAATAGTTCCTCCCTTCCCCCGGACAGCAGCTCCTGTAACGTTCTTATTGAAACCCGGACTGGATTCCACCTGCTTCCCTGACATACTACGCCACATTGTTGTCAGGAGAAAACAAGGAACTCGTTTGGTTTACACTCACCGGAGGAAAGGAGCAACATAAATGTAGTCAACAAACATGTTAACAAGTTGGCATCAGCTTATCCATGGGTCAGCAAACGGGTCCAACATCTGCTCCCGAGACCCTCCACTCTGACCTACTACTGAATTCTTTCACCCAGAGCTTCCCCTTATAAAATGGCATTACCTCTTCCCAGGGTAGCCTTCTGAATACTTGTTGTTGAGGCAGGATCCGAGGGCCTCCAGTGCAGCTCGGCTGCAGAAATTCTGGGGTGGGGGTTAAAGAGACAGAAACACCAGACAGACTGTAAATATAGAATCACATCTGACATCCACCTGTCTTACACTGCCTAACCAAAAACAAAATCTTTCTACTGAAATCCAGACCATCCTTACTGCCATTATTCTTTATTTAAAATATTTTACACCACATTTCTCCTTAAAAGGACCCCAGGCAGCTACCATCATTAAAAGGACAATATTTAACAGCTAAAAATACTATATGTACAGTGGTGCCCCGCTTCACGATGACCCCGTTAGATGACGAAATTGCTTTACGATTATTTTTTTGCGATCGCTATAGCAAACAACAATTCAATGGGTTTTTTTCGCTTTATGTTAAATTGGTCACTGCTTTGGGAACCAATTTTTTGCTTCACGACGATCAAAAACAGCTGATCATCAGGTTTTTAAAATGGCCTCCCGCTGTTTTCCGGACCTATTTCCGGAAGACAGTGATTGAAACTGGCTTCTCCTATGGAGGATCTTCGCTTTACGATGAGGTATTCCGCCCACTGGAATGCATTAACCAGTTTTTAATGCATTCCAATTGGTTTTTTACATTTGCTTGACGACGATATCGCTTAACAGCAATTTTAACAGAACGGATTATCGTCGTCAAGCGGGGCACCACTGTAAATATTTAAAGAATATGTAAAGAATTAAACAAGTATCGTATTAAAAATGGTAAATAAAATGAACACTAAAAACATATTTAAAAGCAACAGAGCACAACAATCCAATTTGTAAAACCCTTTGGCTGCATGCCAGTGATTTGGGGGAAGGTGTTGACAGGAAAATGTTGGGGAAAGAGTCAAATCCTTCACTCCTCATGAACTGTAGTCCTGATCCATACATATGTTGATAACCTGTAATAATATTACTTTTAAAAACTTTGAATTAAAAAATCATACAATCATACAATCAGAAAAGAAAGAAGAAGTCCACATGACTTCCACATCTTCCCTCCCCATCCCAAAGACTACTTATTGTAAAGAAGTATGAGGGGAAAGGATCCGGGAGGAGAGGGGAAAGGATTCGGGAGGAGGGAAGAGAAAAAACACCACACTATTTTATCATTTCAGCGATCCTTACATCACATACACACTATCCTACCTATGTAGTCAGTATTCACAGGTCCAAATCAAGCATAGTTTCTAACTTCTGTGAGCCTTTTGGGTTTGCAACTGCAAATCTCAAGCAAAGTCAAACATTCTAAACCAACTGAACTCTGTTATTTCTTCTTCCAGGACAGTTAGAAATCTTGAAAACTCTTCCAACTATTTTTTAAATCAATCTTTGTCAGTTAACTATCTGAAACACGTTTTCTGTCCCAGGTCTAGTACTTTACATTTAAACTGTGCATGCTTTTACTTCTTAGATTTACATACACCTTCAACACTAATGCTCTCAAAATGACTGATTTTATAAGGTCAATCGAATAAAAACACCTACAACATGAAACAGCAATAAAATTTAAGACAGGAATAAAAATCTAGCAGTCAGTCCTCTTCTTTTTCAAATGAACATACTTCAAATGACTCTGAGGTTTGAACAAGTCTTCTCTCCTAAAACTGACCAAAACCCTAATAGTTAAGTCCAGAAGTGTAATGCAATTGGCACGAATCTTGTTGGTGAATTGCTGTAAGCTAAAAAGTTAGTGTCGGCCTTTGCTGTTCTGTTTTGAGTTGAGTGACCTGGTACTCAAGAGCAAAGGCCTACATTACCTCCTTAGCTTGCTGCAGTTCAGCAACCAAATCCATGCCACTTACATTATGCCAACATAAAAATTCAGTAGGACTTTTGGCCACAAAGTGACCCATGCACTTCCGTGGGCTGCCGTCCAGGAACGCTTGTGCGAAACAAGCCATGTCAGTGTTAAAATGCCACAAGACTGTTCACTCTAACCTTGGAGAAGATAACACCCACCACCATAGATCTCCTTCTGTCATATCACAGAATCGTCGTAGGGTTGGAAGGGGCCTTGGGGGTCTTCTAGTCCAACCCCCTGACCAGTTTTGCAAGTACAGTGGTGCCTCGCATAGCGAGGTTAATCTGTTCCGGATTAACCCTCGCTATGAGAAAACATCGCTGAACGGCCCATTTGGAACGCATTAAACATCATTTAATGCGTTCCAATGGGTTTTCTTGATCCGTTCAGCGATGTTTTCCTATGGCCGGCAGCCATTTTCGCGCCCTCCCCTCGCTTACCAAGGGCGTGAAAACGCTGCGCACGGCCATTTCGGGGCTTCTGGCGGCCATTTTGCAGCCGCTGAACAGCTGATCCGCTGGGCGCTTACCGACCTTCACTATGCGAGTTTCGCCCATCGCTTTGCGATCGCAGTTGCGATCAAAACAAACCCCTCGCTATGCGGATTCGCCGTTCTACGGTGCGCTCGTTAAGCGAGGCACCACTGTAACACAAAAAACACCAATCTTGTCTCAGTAACTCTTACAACAATTTTTTTGCCAATAGGCAAAATAGGCAGCATTCCAGGGCTAAGTAAAGAAGACACCATCTTTCTGCCACCCACCTCTGAGGCGATGAGTTCCAGCCCCCGGCACTGTCGATCTTTCTCTTGCTGCACCAACTCCCACATCTCAGGGTCGCTCTCCGACAAGCTCTCTTGCCCGGTCCAGCCCGGGGTCTCCTTGGCAGACACCACAGCTGCTTTGCTGTGCTGGGCCCGCAAGCTCTCTGCAGACTGGCAACATCTTCGTAGAGGCTGGATAATGCAGAACAAGAAAAAACAAGTGGCTCTTTCCCCACATGTTATAATGAACACGGGGAGTGCACATCAGTCTGCCAAGAAGAGGTCTCATTTTAGCTTGCAATCAGAGCCTTCTACACCCTCCTTTCCCAACCCAGCACCTTCCACATGTCTTGAAGGACATCTCCCATCATTTTCAGCCAACATGACCACTGGTCAGGGATGATAGGAGATGTAGTCCAACCAGATCTGCGGACCCGCTGAGAGCTGCTGTGCAGAAGGACTATCTGGAATCATTAAAGCAAGCTTCACTGTTGGAGTAGCAGTTTCAACCCAAAATCTCTGCAGCTCAGTTCTAAAAGGCCCATCACTATGTGCCACACTGTCTCTTGAAACTGCCCGGATGAAGCTTTCTTTAACAGCTATATTCCAGTTAGAATGAGTTGATTATCACAACAGCCAGAGGCAGGCTCAAGAATTTACATTCTGTATTTTGTAATCGCTAGCTATTGTTGAAGAAACTCATAGCTTCTATCGTTGGGGGTTAGGGTGGGGGTGGGGAAATCAAATTAAATATCAGTGCAATTAACTTTTTTTAAAAAAAACTAAGAGACCGCAGATATAGGTTAAATTCAACATTATCTTCCTAAGCTGCTCCAATGGATTTACAAAATAACATTTGCTATCCTCACAGGTGGGATGCAGAAGGCCTTTGGGATATTGTTGGATCAACTCCCATCAATCCTCCCTAATGGCTGGGCTGGCCAATGCTGATGATGGGAGATGCAATTCTCCTACATTGTCCAGCTTGGCATTATGGCATCACACAAATAAGGACTAGGAAAAGGAATATTCTGTCTTGCCACTTTAGCAGTTGAACACACTCAGAAGACAAAACTGGAGGGGTTAAGGAGCACAGCCCATTTCAAAGCCTGCTGACACAGAGGCCGCTTTGTGTTGCAGATGGGCAAGCCGACAGAACAGCCAAGGCATCAGCTTCTGCAGCTGAATGCTGACTTGGCAAATCCAGTGGGGGGGGGGAGTTTTACAAAAAATCATAAGCTTCATTCTTTCTTTATTTTTCCCTCCTCCCAGCTCCAAAACACCTTTCCAAAGGAAGCTAATGGGTTACCACTAATGACAACCAACAGCATTTAAAAGGAGCTGGCTTCCTTTCAACTTCTTTTCCTATTAAAAGTGATTTTAAAAAAAAAACAACCTCATCTTTGCTGCAGATGATGTAACTGGCTCATCAGAGTTGCATCAGCAAGGAGGGAAAACTCAAGAATGTATGAAGTTTGGCATAGGTGGAAAACCAATAAAGAGAAAAAGCTGCTCTTTAAAAATGCTTTGTAAACTGCAACTTTTTAATTTTAAAAATCACATATTTGGGATTTTTTAGCTACTTGGGTGGATTTGTCGGAAAGAGATTTAAGCAGCTTAGCCGTTTTCTTTTTCTCTCCCTCAGACACACACCACCTCCAGAATTGTAGTTGTGTTGCCTAATCTGAACAATCTGCAAATCAGAAAGCTGTTTTCAGGGGGCAGATCCTCTTATTGACAAGATTCAAAGAGCAGGTCTCCACAGACCCAATGCCAGAGAGCAGAAATTCTGCCAAGCAGACTTTGGTAAAGTGATAAAGCAGCAGCCAAAGTTCTTTTTTCTGCCTGCCTCCTTCCCCTTACCCAACTGATGGCCTCTTTTGAGGGGTGGGAAATTTCTTTTCCTCTCTTCCCTCAAAGCTGCAGTGTCAGATAGGACAGTGAGAGGGGAAAAGATGCTACAAAAATTAGCTCATAAAAATCAGCCAAGCGGGACTGCCTGGAGAGGGTTTTCGGCTGATAATAGCGTCTCAGTCGTGAACGTCGAGATAACTCTTTTGCCGCGCTCTGTGCCGCTTCCAAGAGCCATTAGCCAGAATTAAATAATAATTGAGCGGCAGAATGGCAAAAAAAGAGATCTGTTCCGCTATCACATCCCTCGCTAAAGCCCTCAGGCGGGCACATAAACTCTTTACCCAAGAAGCTTGGGTTTCTAAAACTTGAGCGATTAAACACTACTAGGAGGGAAGGAAATGGGGGGGGGGGAGAGAGAATAGTGAGAAGAGAAGAAAAGAAGGGAGGGCTGGAAATCCTATCAACAGGGCTAGATTCTCACTCAGGACCTCAACTTTGTTGCAATGGATAATGGCAGTAGGGAGTGAGGGAAAGGAGACTCACCAGAACTGAACTGCTTTTGAAGAGCAGCTACCACAAGCTTCACTACCGACCCACTCAAATGTGGGAGAAATGGGGCAGAATGAAGGCTTCAGGTCTGATCCCTGCCCCTTTGCACGTGAACTCATGCCCGCTCCCCCCACCCGCCTGGGTCTCTCCAAAGGCCAAAAGCCACGGACCTATAAGTAGTGCTGGTGTAACTCAAGACACCCCCCTGATCCCAACCTGTCACCCCTGGCCCAACTTAGGAGCCCAGAAGGCGCTACTCTCCTTTCCCACCCCTCTTCTCCAGGGGCACGAGGGATCAGCAGCAGGCTCCCCACCACCACCACCACCATCATCTCCTCGTCTTACCTTGGCAAAGTGTCGGAAAGGAAAAGGCAGCATAGCAGCCGACACGGTGCAAAACAAAAAAAAGTGCCAAGGGTTTCTGCTAGCTGTTGCTCACGTTCGAGGGAGTCCCAAGTCCTCCTGGAAATCAGGAGGGCGGGCGGGGGAGCCGCAAAAAAAAAGGGAAACACGTGCTTCCTCCTCCGCCACTGACAGCTACTACCGGGTGCAAAAGGCACCATGGGAGATGTAGTTTGTTCCGGCCTTCAAAAGGTCTCCTTTCTCGCTATGGCTTGTTAGCAGGCAGCCGAATGAAGGAAGTTGCTCGCCGTTTTGTAGCGACTTTTGTTTCAAACACATAAAAGAGAAAGTGCGGGTGCGTAAGGAAAAGTGTGCTTCCGCAGCGTTAAATTCAAGGCGAGCTCTGTGGTCGGTCGGTGTTCACGTGTGTGCAATTCATTCCACCACGTGTACAAAAGTAGCAGCAAATGGCCGGGATAGTGCTATTGAAGCAGCCCACAGCTCGTTAAAATTAATCTAATGATCCTAACATTTTAACTTGTTTTTCATTTTAAATTATGCAACGCTGTGATATGAATAAAAGAAAAGATTCAATAAGATTCCTATTTATTTATTTATTTATTTACAATATTTTTTAGCCGCACCATTACCAGTGGCTTCTGGGCGGCGTACAACAATATTAAAACTTAGAAACGTGTCTCGGGCAATGACCAGAATATACATCCATTGTGATTAAAAGCCACTGAGAGTTGGTGGCCACTACCTCATATGCTAGCAGATTCCACGGTGTAAGGAAGTACAGTAACTGTGTGAAGATTCACACTACAGTATATCAACAAACAAACACATCCCAAGGTGAATATTGTTGGCCAGTGAGGGTTGCTCCAACATTGCAGGCTTTCTGGCCAAAGTGGTGGCTATTGCTTGAGAAGGAGGACATGAAGCCAGGCTCTCAAAGTGCCAGCGGAGTCCATTTTGCTCCGCCTTTACCTTCTCCACGTTAGGGGTGGGAAATAAAGCCATATCCTGGTCTCAGAGGTCTCGGAACGTCATCCTTTCCCTCCCATTTGCTCCTTCTCCCTAAGGAGCAGGTGGGACGTTGAAGAAGGGCAGCCAGGGGTCTTTTGCAGGCCGTACTGAGAGGACTATGTCTCAGATGGCCAACTTAGCCTTTTGGTCTATAGATTTGTCTCGGCATAGTAGATGTCAACCTTCATGTCCTACCAGATGTTCTCAGAGTTCAACTTCCAGCATTCCTCAGCTGTATACCTAGAGGGCTAATGGGAGATGCAGTCCAACAATTCTTGGGTGGTTGCACTTTGTCTGCCATGGCCTAAACCAGTGGCTCCCAACCCTGGGTCCCCAGACGTTCTTGTATTAAAACTTCTAGTAGCCCTTGCCACTAGCTGTGCTGGCTAGGATTTCTGTCCTAAACCAACAGAAAACATTTCCTAATTGGTGAGAAAGACCTGGTTGCCTAGAATGTTGCCTCTTCGTCTCTTACAGCAGTGATTCGCAACCTTGGGTAACCCAGGTGTTCCTGGACTACAATTCCCAGAAGCCTTCACCACCACCACAGTCCAAGAACACCTGGCCTACCCAACATTGGGAACTGTTGTCTTACAATATTCTCAGTCCTTTGATATTCAATCTACACCTGCAGTATGATCATGTCGGATCAAATAATTAGCATTTATATTAGTAATAAACAGAATGCTCTCCTAAACCCCAGATGAAAAGCTTTGCAGAGAGGGTGGGACTCCAAGATGCATCAGCCCCAATGGCTAGAAATTATGGGGAATATAGTGTGACAACATCTGATGGGCCACAGATAATTCTGTCTTCTCTAAGCATAGAAAGGGTTTTACCTGCAATATCTCTACCTTTGCTCCCACTAACATGGGCCATACCTACTGCCCATGTCACAGGGTCATCTATGGAACTCTTCCTGGATTGCAGCACTTCAGAGTGCAACTAGGGTATTTTGGTGTTTTGATATTCCTTCTTTCCTGGAAAAAAAAAACTTTTTTCTCTTTTTACCTAGTAGGGTTTGAGGGATTTTTACACCTAGATGGCTAGTCCCCTGTGGCAGAGACCCAATGGAGAGCATTCATATATCTGACCTCCCACCTCCACCCAGGATCTTGCTGGCCAAAGGGAAGGGAGGGAGGAAGGGAGGGAGGAAGGGAGGGAGGAAAATTTGTCTATTTTTGCTGTTTCTGTCAAAGATTGGTTGTCCCTGTCCAGGGATACCAAAGATGAGAGCTGGTAGCAGGAGCAGTTTCTTCCTCTCTGATGGAAGGAAGCTCAAACTATGGGCCACCACCACTGCTTAAGGATAATCAGGGAGTTCTTAGTAGAGCTGACTACTCCTACACATGGCCACCATTATACCATACCAATTTTGCTGGATATGCCGAGTCAACACACCTGAGTCATTATGAAACACCATGCAAGCTGGCAAGCCCTGCAATTATACCTTGACTTGTCTCTTCGCAGTGTGTGAAGATGCCGCGCAAGACAGACCACATTAGAGAACCTCCCTTTGCCGCCTCCTAAAAGTGGATTCTTAACTATGTAGGCTTTCAAGTGGTTTATTTCTGTAGATTTTAAAGATGTTTACACTTTAGACATTTCGATCCACTGGAGCAGGAAAGCATAGAAATGGACCAGGAGTCTCTATCTCTCTTAACCTTACTTTTGCAGACAAAAGGTGCTGGCCTGCACTCTTGGAAGAAACCAGGACACGCCTTTCATAGTGTAGTGTTCAGTATAGTGGATCGAAACGTCTAGAGAGTCTTGTGGCACACTAAGGTAGTCTTCAGAGTGCCACAAGATTCACGATTTTGTCTTTTGCCTTAGCAGCAAACCATGTAGTTGGCATGTGATCTGAGTGGGTGAGATGAACTTCTCCAATCAGGCCACGAGTCAACTTTGACCTTGTATCTAAGTGGGAGTCCATCAGTACATATTTTGGAAGGGAATTCCATAGACAAAGTGTATGTTGCATAAAGAGGCATGTCCTTCTGTCTGTCCTGAATCTCCTGCCAGCCGATTGCAATGACTGAAACAGGTTATTCCTGTCCTGTATTCTCCTGCTAATGTGATAACCCCATCTCTTTGCTGTCTTCATGCTGTGTATCCTTTTATAAACTCTGCAACATCTTTCCATCATCTTTTCTTATTCTAAACTAAAAGATCCCACACAATTCATTTTAAAGGAAGCTGTTTTGACCACCTAATCACTTTGCTTGTCCTTTTGTGAACCTTTTCTGGCCTCCTAGTAGTCTTTTTGACATGGAGTAACCTCTAACCTTGGAATTGTTGTGACCCAGCACCATCATTTTATGTAAAGAAGCATCCCTGTATCCCTCCAGATTTTGCTCCCATCATGCAGTGGTGTCGAACTGTGGCCCTCCAGATGTTCTTGGCCTTCAACTCCCAGAAATCCTGGCCAGCAGAGGTGGTGGTGAAGGCTTCTGGGAGTTGAAGTCCAAGAACATCTGGAGGGCCACAGTTCGACACCACTGCATCATTGTTCACGGTGGCTACAATTTTCTGGGAGTTATTGTTCAACAACAGCAAGAGGGCCGTATGTTCACCACCACTGATGTAAAGGTGTTATTTTTGTTCTTTCGACTTATATACAGCCTCATAGTGCTAGAGCACTCTCTGGGCGGTCTACAATATAATTAGGGAAGAAGCACCCCTAGCAAGCTGAGTACTCGTTTTACCAATCTTGAAAGGACGGAAGGTTGAGTCAAGCTTGAGCCAGCTACTTGATCCCACTAGGATTGAACTCAGGTGCTAAGCAGAGGCTTGAGTTGCAGTGCTGCAGTTTAACCCCTGTGCCAAGGTTGTTTCATTTTAATTTTCAGTTTTATAATAGTAACTTCAAACCCTAATAAACCCTAACACAGAATCAATCCCCCCAGCCTTTTTAATGCCATTATGTTTCAATTGAGAGATCTTATTAGAAGATTATATTCTTGCACCCATTGAATCAGGTAAATTGTTATAAGAATGCAGCCTCAACATGACAGAGTAAATATCTGCTTAATACACTGACTTTATTTGCCTTTTTGTTGCCTGTTCATAAAATCTGGAGAACTTCTTATAGATCACTTCACAGTCCACATTGTTGTTCCCCATGCTCTGTAATTCAATGTCATTTGTAACAACCTAACCATCTCACTGATTTTGCCTGATCACTTACAGACCAGCTGTGTCATCAAGTCAATTCTGATTTATGGCAATCCTTTTCAGGGTTTTCCAGGCAAAGAATATTCAGAAGTGGTTTCCCATTCCCTTCTTCTGGGGGTGTCCTGGGACTGTACAGCTTGTCCCAAGGCCACACAGGTTGGCTCTACTCAGAGGAGGCCCTGTGGGGAATAAAACTCCCAACCTCTGGCTCCACAGCCAGATACTTAACTCACTGAACTATCCAGCCAGCTGACCAGTTTAATAGTATCCCCTAAATCACAATAAAGTGAGAGGCCCTTGAACCTTTCTCTGAACCACAGCCTTTTTTGTGCATTTCATATTTTATATACAGGTACTTGTACGATATAGTAGATAGACTAATGGGCTAGGAGTCAGGAGACCTGGGTTCAAATCCCCATTTGGCCATGGAAACTCATAGGAGGAGAGGCACTGGAAAAAATTTTCCTTAAATATTTCACTTAATAAGGTCACCATAAGTCAAGTTCAACTTCATGGCACATTTGTCTGTGTTTAGGAGTGGTCAAAGTTCACACACCCCATGTTGTTGTACTATAACACCCATCAACTGAGCCAACATAGTCAATAGTGAGGGATCAGGGGAGCAACGTCTTGAGTCTTGCGCTGTGACCATCCCTGATGTATGAGTAGAAGGTTTAAGTCATGACCATAGCAATGGGTAAGTCTCTAATATTAATTTCGAAAATATCATTTTTTGCCAAAAAAAAAAAAAAAAAAAAAGCCAGAAAACTTGCAACATTTTAGTTGTGGTTTGACTTGCAACATTCTAGTTTGTGGTTGCATGGTCTCCCACCCGCCATCTCCCGTTCAGTGTTTGTGTTAGTTGCCGATCCAGCAGTTTGCACAGCTTTCATATCTTAATTTTTTGCTCTGCTGATCCAAGCCTTCTTTCGCCCCAGCAGCAATGCTGAAAAGGCGGAGTTTG